TACATATTACAACAACTGTCAACAACACTATAATAATGCCTAAACGCGATCTCAGTGATTTTCAAACCGTAAACAACGCATCACGTCGATCTTTAAAATAATTTTTATTTGAATAGTTTCTTATAGTAAGTAGATATTGAAAAGGTTTGTATAAAAATGCTCACTGACGATTTAAATAGAATTCTCATTCCAAATGCGAGTTGTAGCTGATTGATTTTTATACGATCATAAACCGTTTTTAAATCGAYATTTGATTAAAAATGTTGAGAGTGGTGTCAAATGTGATTTTTCATAATATTAACGATCTACATGACTACATGTGGGTCCTTGGTGTCTTAAGCGATCTCACAAAAAAAAWAAAAATATTTGAGAGTAAATTTTATTAAATATTATTTTACGGAGGAACACCTTATTTAAAATTTTATCATATTAGAAAACAAAAATATATTTTATATAGGTAGCCAAGTAGCGGTCAGCACAACAAATTGTGGATCATAACAATTATGTTAGATCGCTTATGAAACTAGAAAAATACATATTTCAGATCGCTTTACGATACAGTAACCAAATTCTTAACAGAGGTATCTGATAAGGTGATAACCATTACGCAATTCAATTTAGTATTTACATTGTGGACTACGCAGGTAGGTTAGRTAGATTAGAATTCGTATTGGTTATTTTAAACATTTTCCCCCAGATATATTATTTGAAATACGTCTTTAACACTTATTTCAAAACGTTTATACTTTCTTATCTCCATCATTTTTGTATCAACAAAAAAGTATAGGTACTCTTATAAAATTGAGTTATAATGTATATTTTGCATTCCTTCCACTTGTAAATCGCAATTAGTCATATGCTCGTGGAAGGACACTGCGCAACACGATGTTAACTCCAAAACTTTTCCGGTTTGCTCGATCACCCCCTCCCCTCACTGCCATTGGAGGGTGCCTAAAAATACTAATAATAATACCATACGTCTTACGAGTTYGATATTCACGTCTTGCAAATAACACATTAATTTAGTTGTTCTGTTACGAAAGTTTGCAATGTTCAGGAATCGTCAGATTATATTTGTAGGTATTGTACTTATACACATTGCCGTTTCGGTCTTTTTTTTTTTTTTGTTTTTTTTTTTTTTTATCATCATCACTCTTGAGTCGTGTTCTCTGTCAAAACATTATTTACGACATGACTTAATATAATAATAACGACGATAATAACAGCAGTATCCAAACTAACTCAAGACGCGGTGAGAACGAAAAATCGTGGTAGCGCGCGACCGTGTAACTGGTGTCGACGAATTTCTCGCGCTTGCGCTACCTTCCCCGACACCCGCCGTCCAATCTTTGTGGGGTGGAATGGTATGGCTGAAGGGTTGATTTAGGGGTGGCTGAGGTGGCGTTAGCCAGCCGCCGTGTATGGCGCCCGAACCGAACGCAGTACTCTCGCTGACACGTAGGAAAGCCGTCGAACGTATATTCAGCGCCCGCGCGCCATTTAATAACTCGTCGACAATACTACGAACGCATACATTTTCACGGTGGGCCACAACTGCCGGACGACTACACGACTTATAATCGCATTCCACTTCGGGTACACGCGTAACAATAGTTTAGGACGTTTTTGGAATTTTTTTTCGTTTTTTTTTTTCGAATCTTTTCGATTTTCTCTTACAAGTAAATAACGACAAACGCCTAGGCAGAATACCAAGACCTCATACGCCGGTAAGCACCGAATTAATCGCATGATGATAATAATGTATAAATATAAAAAATAAACTAATAATAATATACTATATCGTTATTCACGCGCAGCTGTAGCACGTTGGTCCTCATGCACAAAACAATATTTTTTCCCCTCTGTCCGCGACTGCCATGCCAGCACCACGGGTCTAATGCACTGACATTAAAAAACCATTACACGGCCGCGGCTAGCCGCTACAAACATGATATTATTATTACTTTCCGGCAGACGATCAATTTCCTATTTTCCGCACATTTTGTTCTTAAAAAATATATAATATTATGTATATATGTGCGTGTACCGTATATATTATATTATTGTTCTTATCATACGACTTAGACCGACGAGATTTCTCTCAAATAGACGTTTATCGCCACCACTCAATTTACAGCGTATCAAATTTACTCTTACAAGGTAAAAAAAAATGTATAGGTTAATTTTATTTTATCACTCAAAATGTTATGTGATCTTTAAAATTAATTATAATTTGTTGTGATTTATGAAACATGTCATCAATTACTGGTGACTATCACTGTAGTATTGACAACTATACCTAATTTTATACCACTGAACGGTTAACTGCTTATATATTTATATATAGGTACCAAAATCACTGTATGTGTGGTTAACTGTAATTTATTATTACAATCGCACGTAACTATTTATTGTTATTCATGATTTTATTTTTACAACAGTTTTTAATTTTTCTGTTTCATAACCATAGGGTATAGATTATAATGTAAGGATTATTCACACCAAGATATTGTYACGTCGCCATTTGAAGCAATTTACCGGTAAATGTAGGGTATTTTTTTTACGTGAGTAAATTCACTATTCTAACCATAAAATATACATATCCTATGGTCAATTATATGTGGAATCGACTATAAAAACCGTTTCAATAAATTACAATTCAGACATGGCGAAGAAAAATCTCCATTTGTGATACGATAATATGTTAGTCCTACGAAGCACTCGAGTCGGCCCGGAATATTAATCAAGTTAGTCGTGAATGTGTCTCGCGCACGAGGGACACCTCGATTAACGTTTTTCTGCAGCACTCGTTACTCCAGAAATGGCAACCATTTATTATAATATTTTAGACAAATAGAGTTCCTACTGGAAAATGGTAAGAAGAGAAAAAATTGGAATTTAAAATTTACGGAGGCACGCCAGACATCCTCCCTTCGATATTATTTTTCATATAGCTTTTTTTTGGGGGGGGGTTCCTTAGCCATACGAAAATACCTTTCGTTTTTTAAGTAATTCATTTAAAACATATCAAAACTCGAGTAACCATAAGGATATAAATGTTAAGCTTTAATTATTTGATTTAAACACGACGAGTGGATAAAATGTTTCACTTGTGTGAATTTAATAAAATATTAGATTTTAATATTAAAAACAATCATTTTATTAGCATACACTAATACGAATGTTAGTGTTTATTTCAAAATATTATRAGAATTTCAATTACAATATTAATTATTATTTATTTTTATCAAAAACTATTGATCTTAAAGTATTGAGTTTTATCACCACATTTTTGATATAATTTCAATAACTTGTATACAATAT